GTTCTCGAGTACCCTGGTATTCCTCTGTACTCAAGAGTTTGTACCAGGACTTTATGGCTACATCTTTTCCCTGAGAAAGTATATTCACGGTACGGGTTCACATTTAGAACATTTGCAAGTGTTTTTGCTTGGTGATTCCCCTGTAACACTGTTGGGAGTAATACCCCTAATTTCACAGATGAGAAACCTGGTATAGGAATAATGAATTTATTATAGACAAGTGTTTTAAAACTCAGTTATTTGGAGAGCTCAAGCTATTCAACAAAACAAATTGTGCACAAGGCTGAATCACTGTGATATAAATAACTACAGTGTTTACTTCAATGCCAGGAATTTATGGAGATGGAGAAAACTATATTTTTCTGATTATGTCGGTTTTTTCGACGTGTGACACTACCAAGTACCTTTTCAGCATGCTTTCTTACAAACTACTAAAGATTTTTTTAAAAATTCTTTTTACCTCACACTATTGAATATATCTCCTCAGTAACCAAGAAATAATTTAGCACTATATACCCTCAAGACCTCTTCATTTTCTGCTTCTTAAGATGACTGTCACCTTTTTCTTCCTCAAAACCAAACTGCTTTTTTCTCTTTAATTCAAAGTCTATTCAGACCTTAAGCAAACACCTTTCCTTCCTTCATGCCTAGCATAATGTATAAGAGAGAATACAAAGCCCAAGTCTTATCTTATTAAACCAATCATCCAAGGGTTGGGTTTTTCCCTCCTTTCTTTTATGAACAGGTAAACTGTTTAAAGGTAACACAACTCTATTACACAGAACTGCCGTCACAGAAAAGAAACGTTACTAATCCCCATTAAAAGAAACAATACTTTAAGGCATATGGGGTTTCAAGAGAAATCAAATCTACTACTGAAATTAGTCAAAAAGTATTTATCCAGAAACCAATTACCACTTCACACCTAGTAGGATTGCTATAATTTAAAACAACAAGTATTAGTGAGCACAGGGAAAACTGGAATTCCCATATATTGCTTGGTGGGAATGTAAAATGGTACAGCCAATATGGAAAAGTTTGGAGGCTCCTCAGAAAGCTAAAAGCATAAATACCGTATGACTTAGCAATTCCATTCCTAGCTTTATGCCCAAAGGAATTGAAAACCAGGGACTCACGCATATTTGTACACCAGTGTTCACTGAAGCACTATTCTCAACGGCCAAAAGGTGGAAACAACCCAACTGTCTACCAATAAGACGAACAGATAAACAAAATGTGGAATACCCATACAATGGAATATTATTCAGCCATAAAAAGGAACGACGTTTTGATATCTGCTACAACATGGATTAATCATGAAAACATCATGCTAAGTGGAAGAAGCCAGACACAAAAGGACAAATATTTCAATAGCTAAAATAGGCAAATTAATAGAGAGAGAATATAGATTAGAGGTTACCAGGGGCTAGAGGAAAGGAATAATAGGGAGGTATTGGTTCATGGTTACAAAGTTTCTGTTTGGGATGATGAAAAAATAGAAATAGACAGTGGGGCTGGTTGCACAACATGGTCAATGTATTAATGCCACTTAAAAACATCATTAAAATGTCAAATGGTTATATATGCTTTATATACTCAAAAATAACAACATACCCAAAATCATTGAATTAAATACCTTAAATGGGTGAGTCATAGCTCAATAAAGCTACTTATAAAAGAACCCAATAGACCCGAGGGTGCCATGATAACTGGAGATCACTAACATCAGTGAGTCTAGACTGAGAGTAAAGCAAATTATTGTGACAGCCTAAGCAATGTTTAGTTGTGAAGGCAATCTGTAGTAATGCACCTAGTTTGCATCCGACTTCTTTAGTTCTGATAAACTTATCATAAAGCCTATGATAAAACCTAGGCCAATAACAACTATTTAAAATTAGGGGAGGAGGGCTATCAATCAAAATGGCACATATACTCAACGGGCCACACGTAACCTTTTTAAATGCTTTACATGAGTGAATCTCAAACACCAACGTAAGACAAAGCCTGTCATGGAAGTGTACAATCAGGCCTGCAGATATCATGTGTTAACCACAGTCTTTCTTACTTACGCAAACATGATTTCAGCTACACAACGATGGCACCCCTGGGGTTTTCACAGTTGGCAGGAAGAGCCAGAGATGGCTTATTCCCACCTCTGCTCAGGGTCCTTACTGCCAGGCCTGCCTTGCTCCCTGTGTGTGTTTCTTCTTAAAATTTCCACAAATCAGATTTTTACTAAACCAGACTGTAACTGTCAATATCACTGTAGTTGATTTACATTCCAAAATTATAAACAAATCCTAAAAATAATTTGATAGTTTGGATTATCAGCTCCCCCTTCCATTAGCATGGAAAATGGAAAACTGCTGGTATAGAAATTATAACTGTGTGTGAAGGGTAAGGGATAGGTTAGATATTTTGCTGTCGGGTTAAAGAATGGGTGGGGTTTCTAGTCATATGGATTAATGGGACCACAGATAACCTGAAGGGAAGTCTGGGTTTGGGTTATTTTTAGCTTAATTTGAGAGTTTTTGCTATAAAACCAAAATATACTGTATTTACTTCAGAAGATTTAACGAACACCCTGATAAAAGTTCAGTGTTACCACTTAATTCAATCTGAGCATGTTTTTCCATAAAATTATCAAACGGACTAAAGCATACTCCAAAAATGGAAGAAAATAAATGGATTTTAAACTCATTTAAAGTCATTTTGGGAAAAGACTTAATACTAATAACTGAACCAGACAAGAACCAAGACAGGGAAACAATAAGAAGAGAAGCTCTAAACATGGACAAGTGGTTTATAACACTGTGAACTACTCTATATAGAGGAACTTACTGGACTGAGGCTTACGTTTCTCAATAGTGGAACAAAACAAACATTACAACATGGAACTTTCCCCCAAAGGAATGTGAGGAAAAGCTTTTAAGAGAAGCTGGACGAATGACACGAGGAAAAAATTTTGTAATGGCTATGAGCATCGGATGTTTTTAATTCACCAGCTTAGAAAAAATGATCGTGAAAAGAGCACGTTGGGTCACAGAGATGTGTCGGTTTCATAATTAAGTACATTATCCCGAATGGGCCCATTTTCTCTGCAGAGAGAAGAAACCCTGCTCCATGGTCATGTACCAAACTTTACTGTGGGCATTTGTCCTAGACGATGTGATTTAAATAGTCTGTCACTGCAGCAACATTCCATGGAACAAGCAAACAGCAAGAAGTTACATAAAGTAGACAGAACTAAGACACAGGAGGCTTCCTTCTAGTTGTAGCTCTAAACCTGTACTTTCTGACTGAGCCATCCATCCTCTCTGGTCTCAGTTCTCTTAACTGAAACAGGACAGTTTCTAAGGTACAAAAACCTCTAATACTTTTATATAAAAGTTAAAAATATCGAGAAAGAGATGACCCAGGACCTTAATAGATGCTCTAAACTCCCAAGCCAACCTCTGAGCAGAAGAAAGCTCAGGTATAATACGCCACAGGTAAATCTTAAGAGTTACTCTTCTTAGGTCCACAGAATAGAACAGAACGAGACCTGTTTCCCTTGGAGTTCTTCCCACGTTATTAATATATGAGCAACAAACACTGAGCCTAAAACCAGACCTTAGGACAAGAGAGCATAATGATCTGGGGCCAGCTGGCACAGGAATGGGCTTAAACACCTCTATCACAATGTTACTGCATGTCTCAATACCGGTTGTGTGTAATGATACAACCCTCAGTACTAAGAAAAAGTGAAACGATGTTAGCTATACTCTGCCTAGTAAGGCAAGGGAAACACAGTTTGACTATGACCATGTAAACATCTAAAAAATAAACCTCTGTTAAAAAAGATCAAGCTATAGACAACCCACCGTAAAAACCTACTGTTTTTCAGACAGTGGGTCAGTGACATGTTTCTACCCAGAGCAGAGACAATGAAGGGCAATGGAAAGCCCATTCTGTGAACAAGCTTCAGCTGCTGTTATTCCCTTTATAAGAACAAGAAAAAGAAGCTGGTGAAAACTTCAATTTGGAAGGACCCAGAATATTTCTGCATTTAGAAAGATGCCTCCTGGGGGAATGCAAATTGGTGCAGCCACTATGAAAAACAGTATGGAGGTTCCTCAAAAAACTAAAAGTAGAGCTACCATATGACCCAGCAATCCCAATCCTGGGCATATATCCGGACAAAACGATAATTCAAAAAGATACACATACCCCCATGTTCATAGAAGCGCTATTCATAATAGTCAAGACATGGAAACAACCTAAATGTCCACTGACAGATGAATGGATAAAGAAGATGTGACACACATATACAATGGAATAGTACTCAGCTATAAAAAAAGAATGAAATAATGCCATTTGCAGCAACATGGGTGGACCTAGAGAATATCACACTAAGTAAGCCAGACAGAGAAAGACAAATATCATATGATATTGCTTATAAGCTGAACCTACTTACAAAATGCTTACAAACCAAATACAGGTATCTCTATTCAATTATCGCTGACTATCTTTTATTATACCACAATGCAGAATGTCTTCTGGGAAAGCAGTATATGCAAGTTTTTAATCAATCAGAATAAAGACTACAACCTGTAAATCTGTTTGGTTTTTTAAGCCACATACCTTAAAGAAAAACCTCGTGTGTTAAGGAAAGCCAACATTTTCATCTATTCTTGACGTAGGCTTAGCCACTGAGAGTATAATGATGGCCAAACTAAACTGTACATTACCATGGGATGTGACTGGGCTGAATAGAGACCCACATCATCAGGTATTTTGAGCATTACAGTCGAAGCTACAGAAGAGCAAAGTGTTACTTAACAGTTTGCACATCTAACCACAATTTTAGGAAAAATCTCTTTAGAGGGCTAATTCATTAATCCCTTGCTGTTAGATCGAGCAGTCCTATTCCTTCCATTTGATTTCCTGTCCAAAGAGGTTCTATTACTTCCTATGACCTCATAAGGAAGCCCCCAAAGATTAACATCATTAGTACTTACATTCAAAGCATTCTTTGCAGCTTCTGCTTCTGAGCGACTGTCAAAACTGACAAAACCTACGGGCTAAGGAAAGAAAAAGAAATATGAAGTAAACAATATCTGGGGATGTCTATTTTTCTGGGTCAAAGGTGATATCAAACTGAAGAGCTAAGATACAGAAATCACCACAGGCAATGGGTAGAAACAAGAAAGCCAGTCCAGAAGAATCATGACTCAGTGGCTTAGCCAAATTTCTAACATGAATCAAAGGGATTGTGAGGGTGGTTCTTCAAGGGCACAGCTGGAGATTTAGAGAATCATAAAAAAAAATCTAGAAGGGGCTGGAAGGTGAGCAGCAGTGAACAAGGGAACAGAGGAAAACTTGGGTGGAAAGGCTCTACTTTCCTAAATTGAATTCACTGTACCTCAGTTTCTTCATCTTTTAAAATGGAAAGAGAACCGAATCACCTTTTGGTACACTGTAAGTGCAAGGAATATAATGACACAATGATAAAAGCCCTGTATTCTCACTGCATGATCAAAATTATATCATGAACATTTTAATCTCAAATCCCAAGGGATGCCTTTAAAAAGCTGTGTGTTTAATTAGGCGTATAAACCATACTGTTCCAGCTAAAGAGAGGGGTCACAATTCCTTTGGACTCAGTATCTTTCAGTCCAGAAGGATGGTTGCAACATAGCTTATTCTCTGATGAACCAGCGAATACCTTATTGAGAGATGAAAAGTGACCCAGAGGGAGGATGCTGGTTGCTCAGCATTTAAAAAAAAAAAAGCACATAGCTACAAATTTTCAAGACACTTGCAGAAACTATCAGGGTCATTGGTTACTACCTCCATTCTGTACCTTTTATGCTCCATTCTAGACCTGAGACTCTGCCTGCGGTTATGAAGGGTTTAAGAGACAGGCTGATTCTTCGTCATCAAATTCCCATACCGATTGTGAATGAAAAGTTTGCCTGTTTAACTTTACAAAAAAACAAAAACAAAAAAACAAACCAAAAAAAACACCCAGGAAAAAATTGGCATAATAATCAATAATTTCTTTTGAATATACAGATCAATCCCAATATAACTATGCTGGATGCATTGTATTTACCTTCCTTGAGGACAGACTCAGACACTCTAGCTGGAGGCTATGGAATTAGGAATCACTTTCCTGTGCTAATTCCTAAGCAATCTCACCCTTAATTTTAGAGCAACAACAACAACAAAATAAAATCTTAATGGGAATAAAAAAAGAATGTCGAGCCCTAGTAACATTCCTGAAGAAAGCCAATCCGAACTTACTGTGGAAGTGATCATTTATGTGCAAGTCTGAAATTCTTACCTGCTTAGATGTGAGCTTTATAAGAGAACCCTCGTAGCCCTGAAAATAAAGAACCAAATTTAGACCAGAAATAAAGAGTAGTAGGAGAAAAGAGCAATTGTAATAGCATCCTGCTCAAGTGAAAATGAGTCCCTTATGACTACTGACCAACTCTTCTCACAAATGCCTGTTCATTGGGAAAACAAATTTTATACACACACGCACGCATGACGTATATGCCAATCTTTGCATACTTGGGCCTAAAAGAAATCAAGCCCTGAAATTCATGCACTCATGCATAGGAAAATGGTGTCTATGTCAACAGCAGGTCTTTTTCATTTTATAGAACTAGGCGAGGGAAGGGGATAAATTAAGTTAGGAAGCTCAGAGTGTGTGATGACTTGGTCATATATTTGCTATAAAACAATAAAACATTAAGATTGTACTTGGTAGAACTTAATGAAAATTTCAAAACTTCCAGGAAAGGTTAAATAGGCAGTGATGCTAAAATCTGTTGAGCTCTTTTGCGTATTTATTGCAGCCATCAGTTTTCACATTGGTGTTCTGATTGGGAGATGTGAAAATTCCCTGTTGGGATTTTACTCCAGCTCAGCCTCAAGGAAGATGGAAACACTCCTTTCACTCCCTCCCTTAAGCCCTCCTGGCTCCCCAGGATAAGGATAACAAAGTCTGTTTATTTCTGAAAATAATCAATGACTGTTAGCTTGCACTGATGGATGACACAGGAGGGGAAAAAACAACACTTGACATGATTGACCACCACACGTATCGGTGCAGAGACAGATTTGCAGACGAGGGTCAGACTCTGGGGACTTTAATTAAAAGAGGGTTAGCAGGAATGTACCAGGGTCCTGACTTCAGCCTTTGGGTTTCTGGGCAGCATGTTGGGATTGATTCATCCTCCTATTTTCCCAGCAGAGAACTATGTTACTAATTAGCTACTGTAAACATTTTACCTCAAAGGCCTTGAGCTCTTCTAGCCAGAGAGGTCGTGATTCACAGCCCTGCCTCTTCCTTTTTCAAGGTGCTCTCACTCTCTGAAAAACCTGAAGGTTTAAACACCCTGAAGGCCTCAGAGGCAAAGGACAAATGGATATTTCACTCAAGTAAAAGACCACTAGTAGGGATATACTGTCCTCTCAAGTCACAAAAAGAGAAGCAGTACCAAATAATAGTTCAGATGAGGGATTGCTTGGGTTTGAATCCTGGCCGTGCCATTTATTATGTGTGTAAACTTGAGCAAAATGTATTCAACTGCTCCAAGTTTCATTTTCCTTATTTGAAAAAAATGAGGCTAACCCACTTTAAAGGACTGTGATGAGAATTAAATGAGATAATTCTTAAGGGGCTTGCTGGCTAAATCTCTCTGTATGTATACAAAAACATAACTATTTATGTTATGTTGGATACATACTATTGGATACATACGAGGATCAGTTAGCTTTAAAAAGTCCTCATCCTACAGAAGAGACAGACAGTAAAAACTACAACCCTGCAGAAGAAACTCAGGAAGTTCTATAAAGCTGGCACTCTCCCCACAATACCTTCTCTTTCTTTCCCACTTCCTCTAGCTAACCTCATGGCTAAGCTTCTCTCTGTAACGTCATCATTATTGTTGCATTAAAAGGAGAGCTGTCAGAATGGAGTTACGTCCATTATGACACGCTGCCTTTGGGGCACATAAACTAGACTGTTTTATCTTTGTTGGTTTTAACTCGCTGCCTGCTCAACCGTCCTTCTCCTTCTACTACCCAACTGTTTTCAGCTGTCACATCCTACTCTCTCCCCCTAAGAAGTTAGATATTGTCCCTCAACCTGTCTTGCCTCTGTGGCTGGGGTCCTGCTTCAAATCAGGATAGATCTTTAACCAGCAATCAAGATGGCCCATCACGTGATCGTAAGTGTGGCCCCAGCCAGGCACTGTTGCTGACATGTCCCCAGGGGACGTGACCAGGCCAAACACAGGCCCTGAATCTGTCATGACTTCCAGGTTCACTCCTTGAGAGCCAAAGCCTTCAGCCCACATCACGCCCAGCCCCAGCTACCCTACCCTACCCTACCCTCCAAAGGCTAACCTTCAAGGTTTCTCCTTGGAGCACGGTGATTTCAGCTTTAGTTCAATTTCCTGTTAAATTTTCAATCCCAGCTACATTAATTATCTCTAAAGTAGTTTTATCTTGATAGTCACAATGGACAGACAACTTGCATTAAGTATTTCACTAAGCAACAGGAAAGATTTCCCTCAACTCATACCAAGCAATTCTTTAAAATTTTGTTTTACTGTTTTTGCAACTTTGGACATTTTGCCCATGGCAAAAATAATGGTGTTAGGTTCCTAGTCTAGTTCATAAAAGCCTACTTAACCTATTATGTCTCCAAACAATAGTATTAACAGCAGTATTTCAACTGGTAAGGAACCTCCTAGGGGTAGGGCTTGACTTTTACTGCATTTGAAATATAAATACAGAATAAGTCACTGATAGTATTTTGGGTGATCTGTACTCAGAAGAACACCCCTAACTGGCAAGAGGATAAACAGGGAGGACACTAAAGCTGTTCTGTAGAACAGAAGCAGACGCATGTCCACGTCGGTAAGAGACTTCTCCAGATTAGCTACTGGGAGGACAACAGGCAGTTTCAGTCCTTCCAAAGTGAAAATGTATATTAGGACCGAGTTGTCAAATCTCCTTTACTCACTAACTTTCTAAAAACAGTGCTTTCACAGACATTTCATTTCTTTCTCCAAAAAGCCCCATGAAGCTTATACACACACTCTTTGTCTCCTTTTACAATTTCTGAAAGATCGAAAAGGTACCTTAAATGGTCTGAAAAGCAGATACAGCTCCCGAGGTTTGATATCCAGAGGGAGACCACTGACAAAGAGAGTCCGGACCTGGAAGATAAATACAAGAGTGATCAAGGGAGTGGACAGTCATAGAATAGCTCACCTGAAATCCCCAAAACACATTTCTTCAAATACTCCTCGACTCCTACCTAATTCGTGCTCTTTCCATGACACAATGACTGCTCTAATTGCTCTAAGCCACTTCTTGAGTAGCTCTGTGTGATTTATCAGAGTGAATCACTTCTAGCTGATTTAAATTTACAAACTGACTTCTTTCCTAGCCATTGCCTGGTTCTAAAAATGTGAGGGGAAAAGAGGGTCCATAGGGCTTCCCTGGTGGCACAGTGGTTGAGAGTCCGCCTGCCGATGCAGGGGACACGGGTTCGTGCCCCAGTCCGGGAAGATCCCACATGCCGCGGAGCAGCTGGGCCCGTGAGCCATGGCCGCTGAGCCTCCGGGTCCGGAGCCTGTGCTCCACAACGGGAGAGGCCACAACAGTGAGAGGCCCGCGTACCGCAAAAAGAAAAAAAAAAAGAGGGTCCATAATTAAAACATTAGCTTAAGGAAAACAAAAATGTCATGAGGACAGTAAATCTACCACTCCCCTCCGCTCTAATCAAATGAACGCAGAATGTGGTTCAAAAATACAACCGAACCAGTTTTTTTTTCCTACTTTGTCTTGTCATTGCTTCCCTCATTGGCATTGATAATTACAGTAATTTTAATAAATGCAGAAGTTTATTAAACAATTGAAATGTGTCTAAATGGTAGCCAAATGCATAACCCTGTGTCTGTTCAGTTCTGAAACAGCAGGGCAGACTTGGCTGTACCGTAAGGGCTACGGTACAAAATACGTACTTAATGTGTGCTGAAATACAGAACACAGATGACACTCCCAGCTGGGAGGATCAAAGTAAACGCGTGGGCATCTGAATGGAAACTTCAAGGAGAGGTAGGATTTTACCACATAGATATAAGAAGGTGAGGTGGGGAAGAGGCACAGGCAGAAAAAAAGCGTTAACCAAGGCAATGAAGAGGGGGATGATAGCGCAGTGAATTCTGGGAGAAGGGGAGCCAAAAAAAGGGAACAGGTAGTGGAGGATCAAACCGAGGGGGGATGACGTCATCGGCTCAGGAATATGGTCTTGATTCAATAGGCAAGGAGTGAACACTGAATCATCATCACTACCACATTTTGTTTCTACTTATTTTAGTGAGTCTTTAGTCAGACCCACCCCCCAGCTTTGAGATATAGTTGACACATAGTATTAAGTTTCAAATGTACTTTTTGATCTCATAAACTTTTATGTACATTTCAAAACGATTACCACTACAGCATTAGCTAACACCTCCATCATACCACAAAATTACCATTTCTCTTTTTGTGATGAGAACACTTAAGACCTCCTCTCAGCGACTTTCAAGTACACCCATAATACAGTACCTTAAATATACTCACAATACTGTGCATTAGATTCCCCAAAACCTGCTCAGCTTCTAACTGGAAGTCTGTATCCTTTGGTCAACATCTGCCCATTTTCCTCACCCTCCAGATCCAGAGAACTAACTAATCTACTCTGTTTTTATGAGTTCGGATTCACCCCCATGTTTTCTATTCCTCTTCTCTACTCAAGCTGATACAACATGATCGAGTTCCTCATTAGAAATCACGGATTCACCCCCATGTTTTCTATTCCTCTTCTCTACTCAAGCTGATACAACATGATCGAGTTCCTCATTAGAAATCACGTTACTACTCAAAGGAAAAAAAAAAAAAAATCAATGCTCAGTTGTAATGCCATTTGCATGTAGGTGTACAATAAACACTACGATCAAGTAAACAGCCCCAGAATCATGAGTGCCTTTTTATTATCTGCTTCTTTATCTCTTAGACAGCTTTGGTGAGGTATAATTGACACATAAACTGTACATCTTGCTTTACAATACGTTTTGACATATGTATAACCTGTGAAACCATCACAGCCATCAAGATAATGAACATATCCATCACCCCCCCGAAAGTATCCTTATCTCATGCTCCTTTAATCTTCCTTCTACCTTGTCCTACTATCCTCATCCCCACACAATCACTCATCTGCCTTCTGTCACTACAGATTAGTATGTATGTTCTAAAGTTTCATACAAATGGAGCTATAAAGTAGGTATCCTTTTTCGTCCGACTTCCTTCACTTTAGCATAATTATTCTGAGATTCATCCATGGTGCTGCATGTAACAATAGTCTATTTTTATTTCTGAGTAGTATTCTGTGGTATGAACACTCACAGCTCATTTATCCATTCGCTTGTTTATGAGACATCAGGGTTATCTCTCGTTTTTGGCTTTTACAAATAAAATGACTATGAACGTTCATGTATCGATTTGTACAGGTCTTTGTGTGGACATATGTTTTCTTTCTTCTTGGATAAGTAGCTGAAAATGGAACAGCTGGATGATATGGTAGGTATATACTTCAACTTTTAAGAAACTGCCCTTCAATTCCTTGTTTTACAGCCTAGAACATGATAAATGTTCTGTGTGTATGTAAAATAAATGAATATTCTGTTGCTGTTGGGTACAGTGTTTTATACATTTCAATTAAGGTCAGGTTTGTTGTTCAGTATACCTTTTGCCTCCCCCTTCTCTCTCAACTTTGCCAGTGATAAACACTCTTTCCACAGAACTTTCTTTATCAAAGCTGCTAAGGCTGAATTACTGACAACTGCCGAAGACATACACAAGGGAATTCTGCTATCCTGCGCGCCCTCTCTGCTATCCACGAAGACATGCCTCTTCCCACGTTCCAGAAAGTGAACACCATGTGTTCTACTTGGTGGCTCCGGCCACGACAACCTGGATAGAGAAGGAATCCCAGCTTCCACTCGTTCAGATTTTGTTGAGTGCCCATTGTATCTGGCACTAGGCCAGGTGGTGAATGGATTACATAGAGTTCCATGGAAATAATGATAAGCAGATCCTGTGTTTTAATCACTGTAGTACCATTTGTCCAGCAGGGAAGCTTAGCCATGTGACGGGTATCAAATAGGATCTGGGGAGTTAATTCAGGAAATCAACTATCATTTCTAGCACTATTCTAAAGAAAAAGGCTTTAGAAACTTGCAAGTCAAACAATTTATCCAAAAAAAAAAAAAAAACCAATAGAAATCTGGGAGTTAAATGAAAGATTACTTGATATAAATTAAGGTTCATCTACATCCATAAAATGTATTATGCAACCAATAAAAATTATGTTCAAGGAAAAAGTACATTCAGTTTTATTCTATAGAACAAAAAGCCAACACATGTATGTATATGGAAAGGGGGAAAAATACGCCGTAGGATATATATGCCAAAAGGTTTATATCTACATTATTTAGTCCTGAATGGTGGAATAATAAGTGATTTTTCTTTCTTTTTTTTTTTTTTTGGCTGTGCCGTGTGGCACGCGGGATCTTGGTTCCCCGACCAGGGATTGAACCCATGCCTCCTGCAATGCAAGCACAGAGTCTTAACCACTGGACCTCCAGCGAAGTCCTAATAAGTGATTCTGATATTTTTTATTAGCTTATTTGTATTTTCTATCTTTCTATAATAAGCATGTTTTAGAGACTATAAATGTACTGTTAGGTTGAGAACAGCCTACATTTTTTTATTACTTTATTTAGGAAACCATAAATAATGTCAATATTTGTATCAATAAAAATTGTGAAGTTTATAAACTTTTATATATTTCAGAATTAGAAGATTCTTATCTCAGTATCTCAACAAAAAAAACCTGTTAAACATTAAAAAAACAAAAAAACAACAAAAAAACCCCCACTGAACTGATAGGCCTAAATTTGCCTCTCGCCCATGGATTAAAAAGAGACTCAAGGCCACTCTGTTTTGTTCACCAAATTAGAGGCAACTAAGATGTCTGACACTTTATTTATACATGGACACGAATTACATTTCCTAGAATCTAGTGAAGCCCATTATTGTCTCAGAAACCTGCCAAGACATCTTATCTCTCAATGAAGAGCTGTTCTCTCCTCTGACAGAACAGATAGACTGGCTAGGAAAAATAACTCTTAAATACTTACATTATGAAGTTATGAGGACAACTAAAGGTCTCTTAAATCCAAATGCTTGGAATCTATGTGTTCTGAATCCTTTCTAGACCTCCTCAGACTGGGAAACTCCATTAAGTTAAAAAAAAAAAAAATCACTGATAATGAATGGAAAAAAGACCCTCTTCCTGAATATCTAATTCATGCTTTTCTATGGTAACTGGGACCTAAAATCACGGGGATGTTTTAAAACATTTTAGTTTCCCTACTCTTCTCACCACCGCTCGTTTTATCTGAGCCATTAAATAGTAAAGCACTTCTGGGTTTTGCCTTTGCTATGTCTATGGAAATCGCAAAGGTTAGACATGATTTTTTTTTTTGAGAATCGATTGTTTAATCCACATTGATTGATAGTAAATCAAATAGATGAGAGGAAAAAGGCAATCTAATTCTGAATTTAATTGGCCATTCGGTTTAGTCAAATACCATGTGACTGCACGTGTGGACATGTAAAAGACATCTGCTGGATTCCCTGATAGCCAGCAGTGCCGGGCAACAGCCTCTGCCTGAGGGCAGACATACGTGCAGAGAGCCCCGAGTCTATGCCCACCAACAGTGCAGGAGGGTTCCCTTTCTTAGACATGATACTTGCTTGCAGGAAGCTTACTGTCACTGAAGGAATATGCAGCTTTCTGTGACAAGAGGAAGCCTAGCTCATTCACAGAGTAAACAGTTAGAACCCAAACAATGAGATCAAAGTTTAAGAGACATGTAAGATCCATGATCAAATACTCAGAAAAAAGCGCCCCAAAACAAACGAATGATGCCAAATGAACTTTGTCGCAGGTCAATCGTTTTCCAGGGCAACCCTTAATTTAACAGCATTGTCTATGGACACAGATGTGCCTGGCACTACGCCTTTAGCATTGCAGATGCTTACTTTATCAGACACATGGGGCAACACATTTCTTAGTCAAGGACACAACACGCCTCATAGAAGT